CTGGGCGGCAACGAGGCCAATGGCCGAGAAAATGGCAACTGAAGAGACACGCATGATTGCTATCTTCTTCTTTCGGCGTTCAAGTTGGTCTGTAAAGGAATGTGGGTGGACGCCGAAGGCCTGGCTGGCTACAGCGACAGAAAACCATTATATCTCAGTTTTTCCGTAAACTGGACATCGACGCCGGAGAATTGATATGGAATGTACTGAATGCTTTAATCCAGGTGTAATGTCCGGCTATTTAGTAGTAGGCCCTTAATTTGAAGTGCCCTATGAGCGATCTTGTTGCGCATTCTGGTGAATGTTATAGGAGCGGCGTTAATAACCAAGACGTGTATTAATCTAATCAATTCGCGCAGGCTCCTTTTGCTCCGGCGGACTGGCGGGTTTTACTAAGATTCCCAGGTAGAAGTGCTTGTCAAAATCTCGGAATCCCGGTTCTCATCCTAGATTTGCTATTGGTGTATAGCATAAAGCGTGTATGATGGATCTGTCGTGTTGTCATACAATCTAATTACTTAGTAGACAAAGTTGTTCCGTCATTGGTGTTGCCTTTGGTCGAGCATTTGTCCGTGGGTGTATCTTGTAGATATGCGATGCTTTATGGCAATAGCACTTTCAAATCACCCATTTTAGTCATTCCAAACAAGTTGATGACTTAGGCTATTCGCTGAACACCAACAACTCGGTGTAATCGATCCTCAATCTCATAAAGTCTGTCGTCAATGTCATTAAAATTCATGCCAAAGTCTCTCATGTTGCTAGTCTCCAAGTCAGTACTTGCGCTGTCATCGCATGATTGTACTTACTAAGAGAAGCCGTTGAATTGCAAACTCATTCTTCGTATCGTCATGAGGGACTGCGCTTTCGTCATTGAAGTAACTGTTTCCTTCTTATGAACCCAGTGCAGTCTTTCCCTAAATCCACATTTTTTGTACCCAGCCATGCTGTATTCAGCCACTTCGAGGTCTTTGGTCCCATCACCACTGCTGTAACCATAATATGCCTCATCGTATTTATCAGAAGATTTCCTACGTTCGGCATCAGGATATTCTAGGAAGGGACGTTCCAGTATTATGAATTGTTGGATCGCATGCTTGTTGGTCCGCTGCATAGCTCGAAATGCCACGTCCAGAGCCGATTCTCGCTCCCGTTCCTTTGCATCGGTATGTGCAGACTGGCGGCGCCTCTGATGGATCCTCCGCGCCCTTTTCAAGGTGGATCTTTCTTCATATAGAGACTGTTTGAGGTTCGTAAGATGGTCTTCGATCTCACTCTTTGCAGCCGAAAATGTTTGCAATTCATTCCAGAATACTCGGAGTAAGGTAGCCAATGTAAAGGCAAAGGAAATGAAACCGATGATAGTAGAGGCAAGACTGATGGGTGCAAGTTGTGATTGGGAGGATATGGCGACGCCCATTTCTCAGATTCTTGGCTGTTTGATGCGTGCATGACAAGTTGATGGATGTTATTGAGACAGGATAATGTTTTGCATCATGATTGATTCTGTGGAAGAGGTTGTAAACATGGCTGGGGTTCGTGCTGGGTAGTGTCCCTTCGGAGCTCTCCTACCTAGGTATGGTAGTCCTACGGAGGCTAGCAAATTAGTTGACTAGGAATTGCCAGGTTTGGAGGTTGGAGATGCTTTCTAAGCATCCACCTGATATTACTACAGAGACCAAACATCGAATTGGCAATTGAATTGCAACAATCGAGTATAGTATATTGATCAAGAAAAGGAGTTGCTTGAGGGCGCCTTCCAAAACTCATTATTGGAGCTGGAAGACCATCTCGGGAGTTGCCGAGCAGCCACATGGATCTCTCCACAAATCTACAACAAGCCGAAACCTCGTTCTTGGCTTTCTTAACTCTAACTTCATCCTTCTCGTCGCGTCCGACTCAAGCATCTTTCACCCGGCCGTAATTGTTACTGCGGTGCCTACGAAGACTTTCCTCTCGTACCGCTCATATACCTTGGCGAATGGCATCATCGACACACAAAACTTCCATTTTGACCACGGAATCTTGGATATGCAACATCAACAGATATTGGCGGCTCGGCGGGTAAGAAAAACGGTCGGACAATGAGCATGTGCAACGTCTTGGGACTTCTTGGAAGTGTAGATCAATGAATCTAACTCCTTGATGATTGGACCTATCGGCGACTTGCCGTCCAAGCCGCAGCAATGCAGGAATATGATGCAGCAAAGATCTGGATGCTAAACTCCCAACAGTACCATCACATCATCATCTCACGAGATCTAACCCGACAAGAAAATGGAATGCATGATACGAGTGGCGTACACCGCGTGAATGCCCCTCATGGTCACGAAGGGCTTTCGTCTTGAAAGGAGAGCGCTTAGACAGATTGATACTGTGCGGCATATTTCAATGTGAGGTCCCGCCCAGTAGCTGCATTTAGATTTAAATGCAAGATACAAGTCGCCAGGGTTGATATTAGCGTGGCAACACAGCTGTCTGCATGCTGCTGTGGAATGCGGAGACCAGCTAGCCTTTTGCTTCATCTGCAACTCCCCCCACGACCATATTCAACCTTTACCAATCGAAGCACCCACGGTTGACAATGAACCTGGTCCACAGACATTTAGGCCACAATCTCACAGGACCCTGGAATCTAGTATCTTCAATACTTCTTATTCGTGCCACGAAGATAAGATCATTTGTATCACGTCCATCAGTTTCTTCAACCACAAGATAAGTGCCAAGGACGAGCATTTTCATTCCTATTTGGAGTAATACGTAGAAAGATGGAATATCCAAGAATCTGGATCACAGCATAATGATTTCTAAATCCATTCCAAGCGCCCGATTGGACCGGTCTTCAATTTCCGTGTCTGACCAATGCTAAAGTGTCGTAACGTCGTAAAAGATAGCGAATTAGCCGCAGCTGCTTTGCCGTGTGTCGAGATGATCATTTCTCATCGGGAACTTCGACCCAGTCGGATTCTTTTGGATCGCCTCCAAAGTGAACAGGTCCAAGCTTGAGGAATCGACGGGCAGAGCCATTGCTACTGACGCTGCTTGATCGACGGTCCTTGACTGGGACGACTAGATCGGCTGGGGCGGTAGTGTCGATAGCAGAACCGTCGACGGCAACGTTGTCCAAGATTGGCTTGGAAGCGGTGGAAGACATGGAAGATGAACGAGAGTCTTCCTTGGGAAATCCGCTGGATGATTCAGGTGCAAGCACCAAGAAGGTGGAATCGCGACGAGCAGTAGACATGTTGTTGATTTGAGAAAGTGATAGAGTTGCGGTTTTGGTGTAGAGGGTGGATATTCGAGTTTGATAGCAGAGAATGATGCTTTTTATAGGAAGAGTGGTTTATAAGTTTACAAAACTTGGACGGGGCGAAAGGACCTCAAATAGTCACTGTCCCAAGAATGACCAGATTAGGTGACACGGCAAGCTGCTGTGAGGTGGATTGGATTACTGGATCGGCGAAAGCAATAGGTCTGCCTGAACACGTGGGCTACCTGAAAAGATTGGTTGATTGCAATTGGTGTTTCAAAGAGAAGGTGTCGGTGAATAGATGATCTAGTACACAACTGGCAGCGGAAGGCGAAATCTTATAGGCAAGAGTGAAATGATTACGGATGGCAGCAATGTGGCTGTACTTATACGCGCTGAGCAAGTACCATGAAGACGTGACCACGCCAACTTGGCCTTGCAACGCGGCAGCCGCAGTTATCGTGAAAGTAGTTCCCGATCACCCAAGAATGACGATCAGAAGCTTGACCTGCCACGCCTGCCTTGAAACATAGGGTAACAAATGCATCTGGCGGGTTGAACCGGAGTCCAGCAAGGGTATGTCCTCTCCAGCCAGTAATTCTGGAGTATTCAGAGTATTTACCATCAAGGATGGCTCAGGAACCTTGCGACTAGCTCCCGAATGGCATACAACTTGGATGGAGCTCAAAAGATCCACGGCTCGTAAGCAGCGGCAGGAGAAATGATGAGATGGAGATAATAACACAACCGGTACCAGACGGAAGTTGACATCCGCGTGGCTTTTACATCGTGACCATTTCGCAGTCCAGATCTGGCCAAATGACGATCCATTCTTGAACCAAGGAAAGGAATGGCTTTCTTGCAACTTCTGAGCTGAATATCGGACCACAATTGTTGACATTGCATCACCTACCCAGAACAGCAATACTTCAACCTGGGTTATCAACATCCTTGATACTGCATATTGTCTAAAAATGCCCCGCAAAACAGGCTTGGAAAAAGCAATTATATGATGATGCCCCGCGTTTCGCTCTTCACGTGAGTCTGGGGAACCGTTATCCAATATCCACTTATCCGGCTTTAGCCGTTGTGTCATTTCAATTAGAGCAGCAGTTAGAAGATATATTTATATAATACTTGTACCGATAGCCATGAATGTGACAGCCAAGACTCAGATATATGCGCTTAGTGGCGTATTTAAAAGCCATATAAGCAAGAAGGTCGCTTTCATCGTGGAAGAAAGATAAGAGATGTTAACGTGCTTGTGGTCGACAACTACCCGTTCAATGCCATGCTTTGGAGTATTGGAAGCATTACGGCGTTTCTTTAGACGAAATGAACATAATGCGCTGCTTAGGTAGTTAATATGCAGGATGATAGTTTGAATCGTTACGTTAGTTGCCATCCTAATTACTACTCTACTTAAGTACTAGTAATAAGAGCAATACCTTCCCAAGGTTGCTTATTTCCTGTTCAGGTCGGCTAATCGAGAACAATAAAGAGCGGTGAAGAATAATGCAAACTTGTGAAGAACAATACAAAGTCGTTGAAGAACAATATAGACTCGTGAAGAATCGTGCAGAAGCGTGAAAAGTTATGCAAAACTACAAAGAAATGTAGTGCAAACCCGTTAGTTATATAACAAACTATGCAAATTAGCCCTCACAACTTGAGTAAAATCATTAATTTTCGCATGGCGTAAGTTGACACTTCAAACTCCGTTTAATACGCAGCTACTGACATCCTTTCTGTTGTTGGCCCAATGGCAAGGCGCTTGACGTAATTTAGCACCTCAAACTCTCTTAAATAACGCAGTTATTAACACTATTTCATAGTACGAATCAAGAGATTGCAGGTTCGATCCCTGCACAAGTCAAAAATCTGTCAATTCGACATTTCTGTTTTTTTTGGCTGCATGTATGCTTCTGAATCATGATGTGAAAAGGCTTTTTTTTGAACGAGTTATGTGGAGTATAGTCGTAGGTATATGACCATATGCGCTACAGGTACGGAACACCTCCTGCTAAAACAATGTGGCTCTCATTTTTTAGTGGTTAGATAAATGATACTGTGGGGCAAATCTACATGGTCACGTAGTATACTTTATTTCATAGGAGCTAGAATGAACATGTATGTGATAAATCTATTTGAAGGTTTGGTTTTGACAAAAGTTCGTGAAAAGTACACCGGTTTATGTGCATAAGTACAAAGAGGTGGTATAATTCTTCAACTTCTCCACCAGTAAAGGTCCTAAGAGGTACTTAGTAGTAACCTTTGATGCATACATTCTAGACCAAAAATGTCCAGAAGCTAGGAAAGACAAACTCGTCCTCAAAAATGCGTCTTACTTGGTCCAAGACAAATTTTTCAACCTTGCCCACATTCTTCAACACTTGCTTGCCCCCATCCTTGAGCCCAATCTCACTCTCCACGCGCACTTCTTCTAATAGCCCACCTAGCGGGCCTCTCTGCTCTTCCTGCTCGCCACCATCTTCGCTCGTCGTTCCACCTGCTCCTATCACTGTCACGGCGTCTTCCGGCGATAGAAAACAGCAGCTCACTTTGCGATTGATGTACGCCACTATGGCTACACCGTCAAATGAAAAGCCAGTTATGTGCAACGTTAATGGGATGCCAACGAAGCTGGGCATTGGATAGTCGAGCAGTATTTCAGCCGTGACGACTAGACTCATAGGCCCGTGATAGCGCACGTGAGCAACTACTTGGAGGTCGTCAGGATTACGTTCCGGTGGTGCTGGTGAAGTTGCGCGCTCTGACGCTAAGTGGGAAAGGTCGACAGTGGGAGCGGCAGATGAGCGATTACTGGCTGGTGACTGGTGTTGCGAGGGCGGACGGGATGGTGGATCCGCTGAAGAGGGCGGAGTGCTTGAACTTATGGAGGTGGAATGCTGATGGGTAGGCCGGTCGGGCATGGTGAAATGCCCGCCGGCCATAGCGGCCAGGGGGGTGGTCGGGCCTGCACTACCATATGGATGATGGTGGAAGTATGATAGATTGGTAGTGCCGCCTGGAATACCAGATGAGAATCGTGGGCTTGGAAGGGTAATATCCAGGGGATGGGTTAGTGATATTGGTCGCTGAGATGGTTGCGCAGCTGGTATATGAGCTGACAATGAGTGGCCATGTCGCACTTCTCCTCTGTGATGGAGATTTCCAGCCGCATTGAGGTTGTCTTCGAAGTTGCTATTACGCTGCTGGGAATTTGCAGATGAGCCAGGGACCCCTGAGGCGGGAGCAGTGCCTTTCTCCCGGATTCGTTCGTCGGTGGTTTGGCTGGCATTGCTGTGGGCACTCCGTGCATCATCATCGTCTTCTTCGTAAAAGTCGGGCAGAGGGTCACAGACATCCTTGACTTCAATTTGTGGTGGCTGATCTCCAAAGTTGAACGCTAGTACTTTGACAGAATGAATAAACCGGGGAAGCGGAATAGTCTGGAATCTGTCGTGGATGAATTGTCGGATAGACTCGGCCAGCTTTTCTCCTTCAGGCCCGCCAGTCAAGGTCTCCCATTGGATCTCGACTGACATGATCAGTTACCCCGATGGTAGCAAAGGATTTTGCCAAGTCACAAAATTTATCCGGTGGGCATATGGTATTGTACCCGAGTTTCGCTACAGTAGAGATAAGCTTGAAGAGTAAGGCTCGGGAGGGATAACTGACCTGAGAAGTTGCAGCAAGTGAATATGGGTACCCTGGCTAGCTCGAGATGAGGCAAAGGCGTGATAGAGGCTGGACATGTCCTGTTCTTAGCGATCTGGTCGCATATGGAGTGCTAGGAACAGAGGCGGCAAAAGTGACCAGGCGAGGCGGTCAGAGCTAGGCCTCAAAGAGGTTCTAGGTGTGGTATGATCAGTTGGTGACATATATTAGAGGATTCTAGGCACCCAGGTGTGCATTGAACCGAAGAGACTAGAGAGTGAGATGTCGAGGATCAGGAAGCAGGGTCGAGTTCAACAGGTGAAGTGACATCAAAATTCTGGATGGTCTGTGCGCATATCCCCATGGGGTTGCCATTTCGTGGTAATCCTGGAAAGGTTGACATATTATTTCAATTTTGGGCAAGATTACCTCAATGTCTTCTAGAGTACTAGGCTCAGTCTCGCATTGAAGGATCGAAAGCCTCTGTTTCGTGGAATGAAGCGATTCTATACCGGCGTCCCAATATTTTATTTCATGTTTTATTTATATGTTGTAGATTTAAATATCGCAATTAGTTGAAAGGTAGGATCTTAAGAAAGTATATTAGATTTCATAAGGCCACTGACTAATATTTAGTATAAGCTATTTTGGTCTTAATCATGAGTGGACTATGGCTAAATGTAAATATAAATGTAAATTAATAGTATGTATTAGTATTATAATAAATACGTAAATAATCTAATTTAGAATACGCTACTATTCTAAATAGCGCCTTAGCATATTCTAAATAACTAGAGTGAATATTATGAATATATTTAGAGATTCGTTCCTAAATTAGTAAGCAAAGCTAAGTCTTATCGCTAAGTTAGTAATGTAGAGATTAGAAGCTTTGCTAAGAAATCGCCAAAGGGTTGCTAAGGAATTACTATAGAAACGCATAGATAGGCGCTATTGCAAATTTATTAGTAAAAGTATTATGAATAATTCATTAGTGTATTCCTTACTAATATTTATTAGTATTTAGAATACGCTACTATTTAGCGCTATTCCCTATTTATTTATATTTAGAATACTATTCAATTTATTACAACACTAGTATGTATGAAAATATACTTATTAGGGATGGTTAGCAGCAGAATTCCTACAGAATTCTTCTCATTTTAGCGGTAATTACTAACCCAAAATAGCTAGAAGAAGAATTTAAGCTCACAACGCTAGACCTTAGCATTAGCGTCACGACCTCAAATTCTTCTCCCTAAATAGGCATAGTAGCTACCTAAATAAATATAGTAACACTCTATAGGCGCGTAGTAGTTCTTACTCTAGATTCATTAGCTTATTTACCACAGGCCAAAATATATAAGCGCGCTCTTTTAGTTTAATATTCACTCAGTACCAGCTTTTAATGCTACTTAACCTATTTTTGGCTAGAAACAAAGCAGAAGAATTCTGCAGAAATACTGCTTGCTGACCATCCCCATTCCCATATCTTTTACTCAACAAGCTGATTCTGAATATAACCGCGGGAAGACATGTCAAGTCGTGAAGGCGGTATACTACCTTCTGCTGGGTCCTGCGCTGTGCTGCGTGCTATGCATAGGCCAATGTTAATCCGCCACCCTAAAAATACTATCCCGCCTCCATAGTAATCCAGATCAGCTGCTAGTCCCAAATAGGAAATATATATAGTTTCTACTTTCTAGAAGTAATAAGTGCTAGCGTACAGTTATGCCGTTAGCGCTATTAGCGCTCCTAGCACTTAAGTAGTATAAATCTTAAAGTATAACTTTTATTACTATCTACTACCCATAGTAATTACTCTATCTTAAAGCTATTTTAATTAAAATTAATGCTATTTAAAGTACAAATAGCTGATTCTCTACTACTATACTTAACTCCGTAAAGCTAATATAGTTATTCCTCTACTACTACGACCTTTATAAATTAATAGTATTATAGTTCCTCTATAAGATTCGCATTTTCTACCTCATCTATATTCTTTATACGCTCTACGTATAAGTACTATCTTAACTTAAAGTACCTATAATTCTAATAATAAAGTTAGGATTTTAGTAATATTAAGATAAGTAAGTATACTTAGCGATACTAATCCTAATAAGTAGCAAAAGAGACATATTTATTTCCTATTTAGGACTAGCAGCTGATCTAGATTACTATAGAGGCGGGATAGTGATTTTGGGGTGGCGGGATAGTGTTTTTGGGGTGGCGGATTAACATTGGCCCTATGCATACTACTAGTATCTGATAAATTCATGGCTGTACACCACTATAGCCTGTACTGAAATGAACTAGAATTCGAACACTTGTCTGGAATATCTTTTTGAGGGATTATCATGACAATAACAGATCTGCGTTATTAGGCTCGGAAGCCTTACAGCGGTTGCGGTCGCGGACCGCACATGGCACGCCTTGCCAATTTGCTCAACCATTCCTTTCCCTTCCTCGCATCACCCTTGACTGCCAAAACATGAAGGAGAAATCAATTAACATAATTGCTCCTACGACGTCTTGACACTTGGCTTCGACCGACGCCCTGTCTTCGCTGTTCTACGCGCAGTTGTTGGCAAATCGCCTCGACGCGTTATGACGTGTTTTCAAGGATGCTAAGTGCGCACTTTGGACAGATTTTCGCGATTGAACAGTAGTGATACAAGTTTCGTCCGTCGGGTAGCTAAACTGGATCAGATAGAATAAAGCTAATGATCGTGAAGCCCAGCAAGATGTTTGTTACTGCTAGGATAGAACCATGGCTTCAGACGGGGCGGCCCGTCCAGTGGGTTCTTTAGATGGAAAGGGCGGGAAAAAGTAATGGGATATTTCAATTCTTGCAAAAGAGGACCCTTGAGGTAAGAACACGACAACCCAACAGGGCAATAATTAGACATCAGCTTGTTGTGCATCCTTTCTACGCTGTCCAACGTGACGGTGCCTTTTTTTGACGCGATTGGAGAAACAACGCACAGCAGTTGAGCTTCTTGATGTGACAGCCAGCAAGGTATGGACCCTGGAAGCCGTTAGAGAGCACCATTGCATATGTACTTTCTCTAACAAACCGATCGTGGCAAGCTCGTAAACGTTAAAGCTGTCTTTGCGACAGCTTTGTCCAATCGCCCATTGGTCGTCCACTCAGGCTTTATGGCCAGGCTGTTCCATCGCACGTCGTTGGTGGGCTGAAGCGAGAGTGCTGCAAGTTCA